AGTTTCTCCAGGACCTGGGCTACCGTGTATCGGCTAAGAAGGCACAACTCTGCTTAGCTGAGGTCTCCTATATAGGATATTGGCTAAAAAAGAGTAAGCGAACCCTAACCATGACACAGAAGGAGGTAATCCTTCAAATCCCTACCCCAACCTAGAAAAAAACAGGTACAGGAATTCCTGGGGGTGGTGGGATACTGCTGGTTATGGATCCCAGGATTTGCTGAAATTGCCAAGCCCCTATATTCAGCCACAGCAGGGGATCAACCTTTAACATGGACTGCCACAGAGGTACGAGTGTTCCAACAATTAAAAAGCAGCTCTTACCCAAGAACAAGCTTTAGCCCTCCCGGATATTACTAAGCCCTTCCATCTGTTTATTCATGAAAAGTAGAGAACTGCAACGGGGATCCTTACCCAGACCTTAGGACCATAGCAGCAACTTGTGGCCTACTTGTCAAAAAGGCTGGATCCAGTGCCCTCTGGAAGGCCATTCTGTCTTCAAGCCATCGCCGCTACAGCTATACTAGTTAAGGAGGCAGACAAACTGACTTTTGGTCAAAACCTAACCCTCACTGTTCCTCATGCTGTAGAGGCCCTACTTCAGGGGGCCACTGGCCGCTAGATGTCAAACACTTGTGTCACGTATCAAAGCCTCCTATTCCACCAGCCTAGATTAACTTTCTCCTCTACTCAGAGCCTCAATCTGGCCACTCTAATGTCCGATGATGATCCGGAAATGCCAGTTCATAATTGTGAGGACGTATTGGATGTCTCTCAAGTCAGCTGTACCAATCTTTGGGACACTCCCCTAGATCAGGCTGATGCTGACCTGTTCACAGATGGTAGCAGTCTGGTAATAAAGGGAGTCCACAAGGCTGGTGCGGCGGTAACCATAGCACACGATGTAATCTGGTCACAGTCTTTGCCCAAAAGCACATCTGCCCAAAAGGTTGAGCTAATTACTTTAACCTAGGCCCTACACTGGGGAACAGGAAAACAGGTAAATATTTTTACTGAAGCAGGTATACTTTTGCTACTCTCCATGTCCATGCAATAATCTAAAAGGAATGAGAACTTCTTACCGCGGCGGGTAAGACTATAAAAAACAAAGAGGAAATTTTAGCCCTTCTAGAGGCTATATGGCTTCCCAAAGAGGTAGCTGCCATTCAGTGCAGGGGACACCAAATATCAGACACTCTGGAGGCAACAGGAAATCACCTATCTGATTGGGCAGCTCGTGAGGCAGCGGAGCTCCCAGCTGAGCCCCTCACTATCCTGCTAAGTAAAACTTTTCCAGTTCACTCACTTCCAAAATAGCCTACCACTATAGCTGAGAAGAAGAGGAGCAAGCTGACCTAGTGGGAGCACAAAAAGAACCTCAGGATGGTGGATAACTAAGGACTCCCGGCCACTGCAGCCTCGACCTGCTGGGCTCCGGCAATCCTTCCGCCTCAGCCTTCCAAGTAGCTGGAACTACAGGCACAAGCTACCACACCCGGCTAATTTTTTTGATTTATTGTAGAGTTGAGGTCTCGCCAAGTTGCCCAGATGGGTCTCAAACCCGCGGGCTCAGGCAATTCACTCACCTCAGCCTCCCAAAGCGTGGGATTACAGGCTGAGCCACCGAGCTCAGCTATGAACAGAATCTTAAAAACTACTTTGACCTAATTAATAACAGAGACCAGTGAAAAACGGATAAAACTTTTACCCTTGGCCCTCCTCCAAGTCCCATGCACCCCTTTTACAAGTCTGGGCTCACCCCATATGAAATCATGTTTGGAAGGTCCCCTCCCTTACTACCCCAATTAAGAGAACTTATCCTTGAAGATATTACTAATCAGTCTCTGTTAAGGTATCTCCAGTCTCTCCAACAGGTCCAGGCTGCTCCACTCCAACGTCCGTGCTTGTTCTACCAACTCCCTCCTCCATGCCCTGTCATCCCTTCCAGCCTGGGGATCTGGTCTGTATCAAAAAGTTCCAGAAACAGGGATTAACTCCTGCATGGAAAGGGCCCTTCATCGTCATCCTCACCACTCCTACAGCACTCAAGGTTAACGGCATACTGGCTTGGATTCACCACTTCTGAGTCAAAAAGGCCAAGAACAGCAGTCAACAATGGATGGCCATGCCTGGATCCAGCCCTCTCAAGCTAAGACTTTCTAGCTCTAGTGTTGTTTCATAGCCAGTCTTCTCCTTAATGGACATGCTAGAAGTCCCGCCTATTCTTTTTCTCTAACTTCTTTTGCATCAGGAAAGGTGTTAGCCAACCAAAATTGGACATATAAACAGGAACCGTCTGTATTATTCAAGGTTGACCTAGCTGACCTCCTGGCTCTCTCCCCTAAAATGTATACCTCCAACTCTCCCTGGCGCCTGTTGTACTGGAAATCCCTATTTTAACCTATACACCTCTTCTAATCTTCAAGCAGTAGGTTTTTATCTTTGCCCCGGAAGTCCCACTGACAGACAATGTGATCAGGCTGATCACTTCTGTCCTCATTGGAAATGTGTCACTATCGCTACTCACAGTGGGGGGCCCACTGATACCTCCCAACTCACTCTCTGGCGGGCCTCTAGCCCAAACCCGACTCAAGCACTTGCATACATAAAAGTTAACAATCTCCTCCTCTACTCCTGGCGTACAGGCTTCACCTGGGGTATACGAGCTTATGTAACTGGCTATAATCAAGCTGCCCTGTTCACCACCCAGTGACATACACTCACCTAACAAAACTTTGGCTAAGCCAGTAGGGCCACTGGCAGAACTAGGAGATGCTTTGTTTAGTTTTCATCAACTCTACAACCTACAGAGAACACTGTTACCCGAAGCACACCCACTCAACAACTAAAGCCAATTCTACAGCTTCCTGGCCTTTTTCCTATGCTAACAAGTATGCATCGCCTGCTCAACATTACATTGCCCCAGCTAGCCTGGGATTTTTGGCTTTGTTTAAAATCCAAACCCCTATATTACATAGGCCTTGGGGTTGAGGCTCCCATTGTCAGCAATGCTGATAAAACTAAGTTCTCTCTGGAAATTGTCCACATCACAATAGGAAACATAACTGGACCAACTGCCTTTTAACTTCAGGCTTCAATCTAATGGCATCTCTTTTTTTCTGACATTTGCAGTCTGTCTCTCACCCTAACCATGTCGGAGTCCATAGCTTATGTGGACCCTACCAACACTTGGTTAGCATGCTCTACAGGACTCACAAAATGTATTACCACTGAAAAGTTAAACAATGAGCCTACCTTATGTGTTGCCATTCGTGTACTCCCCCAGGTATATGCTTATAGTGGCCCCGAGGGAACCCTTTTGCTGACTCCTCCCAGCTGCTAGTTGGAAAAGCTCCGTCCCTTTGCTAGTACCTGCCTTAATAGGCCTAGTGTAGCTGGGACAGCAGCTCTGAGCACCACAGCCCGGTCTGAGGTAAAAACTAGGTTAATCCAACCTGGCTCAAGAAATGGATGCCGGCATAGGAAACCTTCAATTTGCCATGGATCAGCTCTATGACCAAGCCGCATCCTTAGCAGAAGTTGTGCTCCAAAATCGCAGAGGTCTAGATTTATTATTCCTGTCTCAAGGAGGACTCTGTGTAGCACTAGGGGAATCATGCTGTTTCTATGCCAATAAATCAGGAATCATTAAAAACATTCTCCAAAAGGTTCAAGAAAATTTGGACAGAAAAAAAAGAGAAAAGAGCAAATCCTGGTTTTAAACCTTATTTGATTGGAACCCATGGCTAACCACTTTAATTACAGGGTTGGCCAGACTCCTACTTCTCCTCCTTCTCAGTCTGCTCACTGGGGCCTGTATATTAACTTGGATAGTCCGGTTCGTTAAACAATGAATCACGTCTGTAAAACTCATGTATATGAGGGCCCATTACAACTCTCTGCCCATAATAGATGAGTCAACGCTTTGACTTATGAACAACTAGGAGGAGGGAATGAAATGGCTGTTAGTGATCTAACCAAGGCAACTCCACTTTGTAGTAGTTCTTCCATTTTGTCTTCCAGTTTCCCCTCTCACCCCTCCTCTGTATTACCGCCCTAACTTTCCCGGTAGGCCATAAATCATGTCCCGTGATTTATGGCTTTTCCGTTCCCTCCCTGGAGGGTTATAACATTCCTGAAACAGTTCTGTCACACTATATAATTTATACTTCCCCCGCTACGGTTTAACGACCTGTACTTTGAAAAATCTCCTTTGTTCTCTACCCAGAACCAAAACTCTGTAACCTTATGGTTTTTGCTATATAAATCCCTTGCTTGCTTCATTTGGGGTTGAGAGTCTCTTTCTGGTGTGAGCCTGCTCTCGACTGCCAGTATTAAAGGACTCAATATTTGATTTTTTTTTTTTTTTTTGAGTTGGAGTCTCACTCTGTCGCCCAGACTGGAGTGCAGTGGCCGCTCCCAGCCACTGCAACCTCGACCTGCTGGGCTCTGGCGATCCTTCCGCCTCAGCCTTCCAAGTAGCCGGAATTACAGGCATGCGCTACCACACCCGGCTGATTTTTTGATTTATTGTAGAGATGAGGTCTCGCTGCCCAGGCAGGTCTCGAACCCGCGGGCTCAGGCAATCCACTCACCTCAGCCTCCCAAAGGCGTGGGATTACAGGCTGAGCCACCGAGCCCGGCAATATTTGACTCTTGATTGTTTTGACTTGATTGTTATAGCAGTGAGGCTATAACAATATTAATTCAGGAGAAAATTTACTCAGCTAAAAGTAGAAAGATAACTTTGGATACTGTGAGATACTGTTTTGGCAGGAGGAGGCAGCAATTAGGTGAGTTGGAAGGAAAGGAGGAACAGATTGATTCCTGGGTGTAGGCCTGCCCTTCCCCACCTTGTGGGTCTAGTTGCCCAGTCTGGGTGGTTATGGTACAAGGAGTCATATGGAAGCCATTCAATACTGCTAAGGTATTTTGTTTGACTTTGCCAATCCCAGCCTAGTCTGGTCCGCTCCCCTTGCATGTGGACTGGAGAGAGGGACTCACCACAGGTTGAGCATTTTCAGGCAGCTACAGAATATGTAAAGAGAAAAACACAGAAAGGAAGAAAGAGAAAGATATTAGTCCACAGAGGTGAGATGGAAGCAACTCCCTGTGAGTCATGCAAACATGCAGTATGTGTCTGTGTTTAGTTTCTTCCTCTGTCAAAGTAGGGTGAGTAGGCTTAGGCCACATGGTCCCCACATTAAAGTGGAGAAGGCAGGACCCAACAGAAGTATCAAGGTGGGAACTAGATCTCAGGGGTAAGGCAAAACAGAAAGAGCCAATGTGAGTCCCAGGACGAGCTTTCCTGAGTAACTTCTAGGAAGGCAGCAGGGGAAAGAGCAAATGACCCTTCCTGTAAGAACTCATCCAAATACCAAAGGTGAGCCATTCTATTTCCCACATGAAGCCTTATTATGCAATATTAATCTAACCTCTCAATTACGAGGGAAAAAGAAGTCCCTGGCCTTTGTATAAGTCCAACACGCTTAATCAAAGTCACTAGCAGTTAGCTCTTCCTCTAGAGAGGGAGAAAAAGGTTTATGAGACACTTAGTTTATCATATTGGAAGATGAATCAGAGGGAGGAGGGTCACTTCTCTGGATTAAGGTATAACTACCACAGAGGGGGCCTAAATTCCACTCTTAATCCTCAGGAGGAATGAAGTTCACATTTGTCAGGTTATTGCTAACATCTGGATAACCAAAAATTCCTTACTATTTTGTTATAGTAAGTGTTCTTTTTTGTTATCGTAAGTGTTCTTACGATAACAAAAATCAGTCAAAAAGCTGCCTGCCCTCACTACCTTTCCAACTTTACTTAAACAAGGACCTGAGTCCTGCAGTTAGAGAAAAAGGGAAATCAGAGGTTTATTTTGTACATAGAAAAAAACTCAAGACCTTGTTACTTCTTTCAACCTTTACACAAAACAAGTTGGGTGAGGGATCCAAAATCAAAAGCTTGTAAGTGAAGGTTTCATGTCGTCTCCCCAGAACATACCGAGTTGAGTCTCAATCTAGGCCTCAGCTCCTATGCCCCTCAGCAGGCAGCATGAACAAATGGCATCGCAGTTGTGTGCAGTGAGGGCAAGTTTGGAACACCTTGTGATTCTCTAGCTGTGACTTCCTCCCATGGAAATGATGAAGCAGGTGCATACACAGCTACCCCCTCTTTACCCCAACATACACAGAAGACCAAAAAGAATAATACATGGCTGAGCCCTGACAGTTCTCTGGGCAAGATGGATTGGTAGCTCATGAAACCACAAGAAGTCTTAAGCCCTGAATTTTCAGATGACATTTGGTCAGATACAATTGCTGCCCTCTGTTTTCACAACTTTCAGAAGGTCCAAGCCTGGACCTGGCAGCAAAGAGGCACAGTGGTCCTTTTTGCTAAATGGGAAGACTTTAAACTCTCTTAATATTCTAGAAGTAATTTAGATGATACCGGCACAGATTAAAATCTCTTTGTATGAATAGGCCCCTATTTCACACACAGGACACCAACACCACATTCACATACACAATTAGATTACACATTTACCAAAAATGGAATGAGATGAATGGGTTCAAAAGATAAACCTGTCTAGGGCATATCAGAAGACTAAAGCCCATCAGATCCTGAAATTCAAAGCATACTACTAAATCCAGAGCTAAACTTCAAGCCTTCAAAGCATTAGCCACAAAGGTGAAGTGGAAGTGGGGTGGGGCTGGGAATGCGTACTGCCATCTTATAAGCCCAGACAATGTTTGAATCAGACCATGATGAGCACTGTACCTTCCAACGTGGGCTACACATTAAAATTAGCTGAACTTTTAAAATTGTTGATGCTCAGATTATACCTCAGTAAATTAAATCAGAATCTCTGGGGCCAGATTCAGACATTTGTATTTTCTAACATGCCCTAGGTGACTCTGAAGTACAGCCAAGGTTGATTCTGAAGTACAGCCAAGGTTGTTTATTTAAGAGAATGTAGTTTTCATCATGGAATCAAAAACAGTGAGTACCATTAACATCTCAAAGCCCCTAAAGCTAGAGAGCAGTTTCCTGACTAAATGGTCTCCTCCTGGTATAACCAGCCATCTATCAGCATCTATCTAAGCCTAGAGAAGAGCTCCCGAAGTTGCCTACAGTCAGCAGGAACTCAAAGGACAGAGTCCCCACATCATCCTCAATGACTTTTTATCTGTTGGGTAGGAATCTTCAAGCTCTGACTTTTCAAGGAAAGGACCTCTTGAGGGGTAACATGCAGGAGGGCAACCATGCAAAGTGTAACTGGAAAGCGGAAGAATGCAAGTCTCAGCTGGCCTTTTACTAACTTACAGCCAGAGGTGTAATTGAGTCCTGGCTGGTATTTAGGCTACTTGGGGGCTCACGAGATCACTTAGGGCACAATACCACTATAAATATGTAAGATTAAGACACTAGGATATGCTGAATGTTCTCAAAGGGTTTATAAGAAAGGTCATCTACATCAGGGTTAGTAGCACTTACTGACTCATATGTCTACCTCTCCCTGCCTGACGTCTTTGTGGAGTTTAAATCTGGATCTGAATTTGGGATGGGGAAAAATCGGGAAGGCAGTAGTAGAAATGTTGTTTCTGCAGCAGAATCAGTGATTATTTCACCTTCCAACCCAGATTCTAAGAGTTTAAACACAGACCATGCAGAAAGCACCAAAGGCTGGTGATATGGGCAGGGCAAGACATATACATGCAAGAGAAGCAGAAAAGGGCACGGAGGCAACCTCCTCACCCTCTTGGGATTAGCATGACTTCCCATCCTTCCCAAAACACTCTCAACTCACAGGTGCAAATTTTTCTTGCCTGAATCTTGAATCCAGAATCATTTGAACAATATAGCCCTGAAATCCTTGTTCCAGGGCTGTATACTCAATTGTCAGCCCACAACTAGAAATCAAATGCTGTTCAGTATGGCCCATGACTGAACAGCAGAGTTTTCTCTGTATCCTATAGGGAGCAAGAAGCTCCATGGCCCCAAAAGGCTCATGACTATTATCTGTTGTAAACCTGACAGCATGATACTTTTTTTTTTTTGAGTTGGAGTCTCACTCTGTCATGCAGGTTGGAGTGCAGTAGCACACTCACCGCCATCCCAGCATCGACCTGCTGGGCTCTGGAGATCTTTCTGCCTTAGCTTCCAAGTAGTCAGAACAACAGGCGTGCGCTACCATGCCTGGCTAATTTTTTTTTTTATTCATTGAAGAGACAAGATCTCACCAAGTTGCCCAGGCTGGTCTTGAACCGTGGGCTCAGGCAATCCATTTGCCTTGGCCTCCCAAAGTGCTAGGATAACAGGCTGAGCCACAAAATCCAGTCAGCATGATCCTTTTAGTTTATGTCTTTTGCCCCATGGGGAGTAGAAAAATGTGACTGTCTTCCCTGAAATCACAGTTAAAGGGCAGCAGCAGGTTTAAGGTACCATGCAAAACATGAAACAGTCAAAGGAAGAAAGCTATGGATACAAGCATGAGGAATCCAGTCTGATATGAGCAGCACACAGAAAGGAAGAGACAGAAAATATTTTTCAACCATGATTTAAGAGCCCCCGTTGAAAGACGAACGTACTTAGCTTCCTCCACTACCTCCACCTCGGCATGAGCTGTGATTGGTGCATTGGAGTGGGCTCCTGTGGGGTCATCGACATTCAGCTCTCCATTGGTTGAGCTAACCACCTGAAACAGAAAGACAGAGTGTGACAGGCACCATAGCAATAGAGGCCTCCTGGTGGTGCCAGAGGTCACTAAGAAAGACCTGGTATCTAGTTTAGGGACTAGCCAGTGTCTGGAATGTTTGTTTTCCTGGGTTAAGGAGCCAGTTTATGGAAGGTTCCCAAACTCATATCATGTGAGAACACTATACTCAATGAAACAATCATATAATGATAATAACAACCTCCACACTGAGCACTTACTCTGTCAGAAACTCTGCTACAACAGTGTGTGTAAATGTAATCTCCACAAAAAACCTTGGCTATAGGTCTTTTTACAGATAGAAATACTAAGCAATAACTTGACTAAGGTAAAGAGTTAGTCTGTGGATTTCCATGAGGGAAGTTTGTCCTAAACATATAGATTCTTTCATATTGCAAAAATGCATACAGTACTTTATTAAGCTAAAAATAGCTAAATAGGTCATTTTTTTTTTTTTTTTGAGTCAGAGTCGCACTCTGTCACACAGGCTGGAGTGCAGTGGCATGCTCATGGCTACCACAGCTTCAACTTGCTGGGCTCAGATGATCCTTCTGCCTCAGCCTTCCAAGTAGCTGGAACTATAGGCATGTGCCGCCACCATGCCCAGCTAACTTTTGATTTATTGTAGAGATGAAGTCTTGTCAAGTTGCCCAGGCTGGTCTTGAACCCGTGGGCTTAGGCAATCCTCTCACCTCAGCCTCCCAAAGTGCTAGGATTATAGGCGTGAGCCACTGAGCCTGGCCTGCATAGCTAATTTCTAAAGGTAAAATCACTTTGCTTTCTTGGGTAAATTCTGCTCCTCTGAGTTTGTTATGCTATAATTATAGAGACTCAGTGATGATGTTTAAAGAAAAAAAATTTTTTTTTTTTCAGTTGGAGTCTCCACTGTCACCCAGGCTGGAGAGCAGTGGCATGCTCCCAGCCACTGCAGCCTCAACCTGCTGGGCTCCGGCGATCCTTACGCCTCATCCTTCCAAGTAGCTGGAACTACAGGCACGTGCCACCATGCCTGGCTGATTTTTTAACATTTTATTGTAGAGATGAGGTCTTGCCAAGTTGTCCAGGCTGATCTCAAACCTGTGGGCTCAGGCAATCCTCTAATCTTGGCCTCCCAAAGTGCTGGGATTATAGGTGTGAGCCACTTCACCCGCCCTAAAGAAAATTCTAAAATTGAAACCAATAGTGGGCATCAGAAACTATAAACAATCACACTTTCCTTCAGTAATTTTTTCATGGCTTTGACCACTGGTTTGAAGTTACTCAACTCACAAAACTGCCACATTCTCTCTGATGTTAGGGAAGACGGTAAGGAAACACGTTTCCTTGGAAAACCAGGCTTATTTCAATGGCCTTTATTTCAGGTTCATTTTCATCCCATTTTTCACTGAAGGTCCCCGAAATATAAGTGAAGGTTCTCACTCCTGTCATCTGGTTAATGTGGACCCGATCAGGCTTCTCTTGCTTGTGTAGCTGCTTCTGCCACCTGGTTTCATTTCCAGCACATGATTCCTGTTTATGTGGGTGCTGGGCAGTGGGAAAAGGGACCCCGCTGCTGGACAAACCACTCTGCTCTTAAAGGCCTTCGGCTGAAACATGGGAGAGAACCACAAAATAGGATAAATGGTTCAGATATCATATGATTTGGGGTAAGTAACTTCATTTACTTGAGACTTTCTTATGGGTTGATGAAAGAATTATACAAGAAAATGTATGAGAGTGGTACAATATCTGGGACAAATAATGGAGGCAGCATAGCATATGAATTCAGCTCTAGAGTTAGGCAGCCCTGGGTTTGAACCCCAGCTTCACCAACTTGCAGTGGGTCCCTGGGCAAGATCCTCATCATTCTTTCTGTGCCTGAGCTACCCCATCTATATCTGCTTACCTAATGGGGTTAACTGTGCAGACAATCCACAGAAAGTGCTTAGCCCATACATGTTAATGACTCCATTAGTGTATATCTTACTGCTATTCTCCCTCCATGAGTCATTATTATTTATCCTTATCTGCTTCTAGCTCTGGTCCTTATCAGAGGTTAATCTGCAAAAATTTCCTGAATAGTCCTAAAAAGTAAGGTGGGAGAAAATGTTTAGCACAAGTAATCTGTGTGGCAGACAGAGTGAATATTACTTACTAGCACTCTACATCCGCCATTATTTCTAAACCAGAAATAATTATTGTTCTAATTAATTATTACTTTTAAAAAAATTAAAACAATGCTAGGCCAGGTGCAATGCCTCACACCTGTAATCTCAGCACTTGGGAATCCCAGGCAGGAGGATCGCTTGAGCCCAGGAGTTCAAGTCCAGCCTAGGCAACACAGCAAGACCCTGTTTCTACAAAATTTTTTTTTAAAAATTAGCCATTTGAGGTGGTGCCTGCCTGTAGTGCCAGCTATTCAGGAGGCTGAAGCAGGAGGATCACCTGAGTCCAGAGGTAAGCTGTGATCATGCCACTGCACTCCAGCCTGGGTGACAGAGTAAGACCCTGACTCAAAAAGCAAAGACAAACAAATAAAAAAAATACTGTATGGTTTGTGAAAAACTGTACATTAAATTTGGACTTGATCAAATTTAGCATCTCTGATTAGTGGATCAACCTGACCTTTTTTATCCCCTGCCATGATATAATAAGCTCTATATCACACAGTATTCTTGCTGAAAAATGTAAAGTTTTACATAAACCTAATCATGATGAAATAATTACACAAATCTAAAATGTGTAATATTCTACAGGACAACTAGTTTGGACTCTTAAAAATAATATTTTTTGAAGACTTTTTTTAGATTACATTACAATATTAATTTTTGGGGACAACTAAAATTAGAGGAAATGCGATACAAACTATATATTAGGGATTGTGAAACTAATTTTCTTAGACATGACTATGGTATTACTGATTACATGAGATAATGTCTTTGTTCTTAGGAAATGCAGGCTGACATATTTTGGAATAAAGTGTAATTATGTCTGCAACTTACTTTCTATGGTTTGACAAGCAAATACACTCTCACACAAAGAATTAAAGTAAATGCAGCAAAATCTTAATTGTTTGTTAATCTAGGTTTTTTATATATATATACACACACACACACACACACACACACACACACATATAATGAATCCATATATATCTGTATATATGGATTTATCACATTTCTCTCCCCATTTCTCTGTAAATTTGAAAATTTCAAAATAAAATTTGGGGAAAAAAAATCAGTAAAAACAAAAGTTGAAGAAAGAAGATATATAGATTGGAAAGCCACAGCTTCTCACTCTAATCCTGTTAATTTCCTCAGTCCTACATTTTTTTTCTTGTGGACGTATTCTGGCTGCACACTAGAATAACTGGTAAGTTCATTCTTTGAGCACAAGAGTTACAGGAGAAATAGTAAGTTTCTTAATGAATAATTCAGGAACTAGATAAAACGTTAAGTAGCATGTCTTGGCTTCTTGACATGAATGAAGCATTAGTAAGCATCAGTGCTGAGAATTACCTGATGACTTTGGGTCATGGTGCCTGCTCACAGCGTTTCACATGTCTCATACTTGCTAATTTCTCCTCGCTATGAATTGCCACTTGGGCCAAAAGTAATGTCCTTGAGCAATCTAAGGAAGAAGAGGTTATCCCCTTTTTACAGACTAGACATCTTGTCTGTATCAATGAGCATCTGGTCTCAAATAAATCAGGCACAAATGGGAACCTTACACCTCCATTTTTTTTTTTTTTTTTTTTTTGGAGTTGGAATCTCACTCTGTTGCCCAGGCTGGAGAGCAGTGGCATGATATAGCCTCGACCTCCTTGGCTTAGGCAATCCTTTTGCCTCAGCCTCCAGAGTAGCTGGGACTACAGGTGTGTGTTACCATGCTTGGCTAATTTTTTGATTTTTTGTTTGTTTGTAGAGATGAAGTCTTGCTATGTGGCTTAAAAAGGTTTTTGAACTCCTGGGCTCAAGCTATCCTCTCACTTCAGCTTCCCAATGTGCTGAGATTACAGACATGAGCCACTGCACCTGGCCCCTTACCTCTATTACTCTACCCTTAAATTTAACTATACCAAAAACACACATGGGTCGCAGTGACTACAAAGTGATGCTTTTATAGCATCCACTTAATTATTTCAGGCTGGAGGTTTAGTTTGTCAAACCATTAAATGTCTGGATGTGCAGTAGAACAAACATGGTGTAAGTGACAGAAGAGCTGGATTCCAGGACTTGTCCTATCCCTGACATCCTCTGTGAGCCCTGTTTTCTAATTCTGTAAGACAGGGTCAATGACCTTAGTCCTACCTACTTCATAGTTACCACAGCAGTTAAATATCATGATGTCTAGGAAAGATATTTGAAAAACTGTAAAGAAGCTTATGAATGTAGTAAATTATTGACATTTAAAACAGTAAAAAAGCCAGGCTTGTGGCTCAGCCTGTAATCCCACACCTTTGGGAGGCTGAAGTGAGTGGATTGCCTGAGCCCGCGGGTTCGAGACCCACCTGGGCAACTTGGCGAGACCTCATCTCTACAATAAATCAAAAATCAGCCGGGCATGGTAGTGTGCATCTGTAATTCCGGCTACTCGGAAGGTTGAGGTGGAAGGATCGCTGGAGCCCAGCAGGTCGAGGCTGTGGTGGCCGGAAGCGGCCACTGCACTCCAGTCTGGGCAACAGAGTCAGACTCCAACTCAAAAAATAAATAAATAAAAATAAATAAAAGTAAAAAATAAGCTTAATTTGCATGCTTGAAATATTGACATTTATTTTGCTTTAATCAGTATTAAAATTAATCCCATATTACTCTAGCTTTATCACACAAGTCTATAGTAGTAACTATCTTATTGGAAAGACTACCTATGAGAAAGACTAAGGCCAAGCATTATTTTAACCTTTAGACATTATTAGTAATAGTCCTTTTAGAAGTCTCAAATATTTGAATTATTAATCCTATTTTTCCTTTTCTTTTTTTTGAGTCGTAGTCTCACTCTGTCAC